GGTTTTGCTTCTCGTCATCTCGTGCCAGTTATAAACCGAACAAATATGGTTTCGTAATTTTTATCTTGTTAAAATGTGATATAATTTATACATAAATTCTATGAAAATGTTTGTCAACATAATCTCTGTTTATTACCAGAAAACAACATGGACAGCATGTCGGCAAATATGCCATCACAGGTATCAGACCACCAGTACAGAAGTAATGAAATTGACGTAGACTTGGATAAAGACACGTAAGTGATGACAAATCATATAGACACACTTAAGAATTAAATCAGATAAAATAAATACAATATAAATACCACATTTTGGAAATATGAATTGAAGTAATATTGTATTGTCATCATAGATTTACTGGCACATTATTGGCTCCTGCCACATCACCATGCGGTAAGAGACGTACTCAGTCACTGAGCGCTTTACCAAAGGAAGGTACAGACAAAGAACCAAGAAGTCCTAGAAAGGTTAGTAATAAATGCTGAGGAAGAACCAACTGTATCCATGGCAACTAATAACTATGGCATTTAAAAAAAATGTATTTGTTGTATGCTGAACCATTTATATACATGTCTTTTATTTACATCAGTATATGTGCTACTAATAGAGCAAATAAAGAACTTAGAGGAGTTGCACCCATTCTGTTTCAACAATTACAAATTCAAACCCCAAAATTCACAATTTCTCGTACGTGTAGATGCTCTAGTAGAAATCTCATCCCCTCTGTGGCATTGTTCCATTTTAATAGAAACCAGTTTCTAATACAGATTTGACAGTATTAACCTGTGCCTGTGGAGACAATTAGGTAATGAATTCATATGTGCACATGTGTGTGTAGTATGTGAACTTTTTACATCACTTGCTGTAAGCTTCTATTGATTGCCGATATGAATGATAGGTCAGCTAATGATGTATTAAGCATGTTTGTTTTCCATTTCTGTGATGATGACTATTTTATTGGAATAGTTTGTTTATCATCGCTGCCATTAGGTGATGTAATTTCCAAAAGTAATTCATCATTGGTACTTATCAAGTCCTCATGAATTCATAGGCCATAAATGCATGTCGTCTATTGCAGTGAAGGATATGCTTGCATGACTAATACATCCATTTTTCTGTTCTTCAAATATAGGTGCGTGACAAAGACCATATTCGTCGGCCGATGAATGCGTTTATGATATTCAGTAAACGTCATAGGGCTTTGGTGCATCAGCGCCACCCCAATCAAGACAACCGAACAGTTAGTAAGATTCTTGGGGAATGGTGGTATGCACTGGGACCTAAAGAAAAACAGAAATATCATGATTTAGCATTTCAGGTAGGAAGGACTATCAACAAATAACTAATAGTTGATTTTTTTGTCGCTATAGTTCATTACAATTCTATTCCTGTTTGGATACAATGTTTATTACTTTATTTAAGGTAAAAGAAGCTCACTTTAAAGCTCACCCTGACTGGAAATGGTGCAATAAGGACAGAAAGAAATCCACAAGTGGAACATTAGGTGGCGGTCTTCGTAAACTTGAAAAAGAACGGAAAATCTCGCTTGATGATGGCGTATTGATATCACCAATTAGTACTGTGGCTCCAATACAGGATATCACTTCTTTAGAAATATTTACCACTGTTGGGGGGGAAAGTGTGGAAAAACTTGATCGGGGTAAAATAGTTGCTGCCAAAGATGATCAGTATATTCCTGATGAAGAGGTAAAATTTATAAATTTAAAATTACTTTTTACTTTCAGCTCAGCTGTTGTCTTTTTCATTTTGTGATATTTTTGACTATTTGTTGAAAGCTAGTCTGATTGACTTGGGTGGACCTCACTCAGATTTGTTCATTTCATGATATCTTCAATTCTCTGATTCAATTGTGCATTGCTAACTTTATATTCAAACTATTTCATTAGTTTATTTTGGCTAAGATAACTGATTTTAACATTTTTGTTTGAAGAAACCTGCTCGGCTTGCTGCTCGAAAAAAGCGATCACAGAGCATGTCCCAAGTGCCGACCACGTCACACGAGCACCAGCAGATGGAGAAACGTCAGGAAGAGCTGCGCCAACAGTTTATACAACAACGACTGCAGCAAAAACAGAAAGATGAACAGCAGCGAGAGAAGTGGGGTTTGGGAGCGAAGAGAGATGACCCAACAGGAGAGAGTCAGGCATTGGCTGAACTTGCACAGGTTTGTCTCTGTCTCATTCCGACATACTAAGAATCTAAGGTCCTGCACATCCTCAATGTCAGAAAAAAATGTGAATGTCACACTATAAGAATCTATACATATCTTATGTACAAGTACCATATATAGTGATACAATCCTATATTATTTGAATTGTGTATTTCATTACTGCTATATTTGCTCTATTAGAAGTGCATGTAGATTTTGTTCTACACTGAATCATTAAAATATTACTTATTTTTACCATAGAAATACCTCTGTATTTTATGTAAATCTATGCGCTCTACTGAAGCTTCACGACAAATCTGAACTTCACAATGCAAAATGAATCATGGTATTTGCTCTATTAGAAGTGGTTATAGACTAAATATTTCATTTGCTATACTGAATCATCAAAATTATGGTATGCTGTATGCATGACTCTTCAGGTCAAAACACCCTGGTACCCCAAAGGTCAAAACACCCTGGTACCCCAAAGGTCAAAACACCCTGGTACCCCAAAGGTCAAAACACCCTGGTACCCCAAAGGTCAAAACACCCTGGTACCCCAAAGGTCAAAACACCCTGGTACCCTCTGATGGCACTGTCAGTGAGTGATGAGCAAGTTGTCATTGAATTATAAAGAAAGTCATGCAAAGTACCAGGATGTGCAGCCTTTTGTGCTCATGTGCACAGCCAATAGTCTACTTTGCACAACTCTTCTTTCGTACAAAATTATGGGTATGATCCAAGTTTGATTTCCCTAAATTCTTTACGATAGAACAGTTTTACTGCTAAACAAATCATACAGGTACACAAGTCTGAAATCAGATTATGTAACCAATCATTTTTGCATTGTATCATCAGATGTGTTCAACAAGACTACAAGATGGTGGTTCCAAGAGAAGCCCACAGAAAACCATGCCACAACTACAGAGTAGGAAAGAAAGACTGGAGTCAGAAGAAATGACCAGTGATGATGAAAGGATGGTCATTTGTGAGGAGGGTGATGATGATGTCATTGGTAAGTGAAATTATTCAGGAATCTAGCTGGGTCACATAGGGTTCATTGGTCTAGGTGAGTCACAGAGGGGTCATCGGTCTAGCTGGGTCACATATTGGTCATTGGTCTAGCTGTTGGTCTATTTTTGTGCTAAAAATCAATATAAAGCATTTCTGCCATTCTGGAGCCGAATCTCTATTGTGTGTGGGCAAATTTTTTTCAAACTTGGACTCAATTGAATTGAATAAAAAAAAGCCATTACATTGTACTGTGACACACATGACTCACTAATAGTGCAAATACAGTATTTTCACATTGTACTGTGACACACATGACTCACTAATAGTGCAAATACAGTATTTTCACATTGTACTGTGACACACATGACTCACTAATAGTGCAAATACAGTATTTTCACATTGTACTGTGACACACATGACTCACTAATAGTGCAAATACAGTATTTTCACATTGTACTGTGACACACATGACTCACTAATAGTGCAAATACAGTATTTTCACATTGTACTGTGACACACATGACTCACTAATAGTGCAAATACAGTATTTTCACATTGTACTGTGACACACATGACTCACTAATAGTGCAAATACAGTATTTTCACATTGTACTGTGACACACATGACTCACTAATAGTGCAAATACAGTATTTTCACATTGTACTGTGACACACATGACTCACTAATAGTGCAAATACAGTATTTTCACATTGTACTGTGACACACATGACTCACTAATAGTGCAAATACAGTATTTTCACATTGTAGTTTACAAGAATTAACATTCGTTTTTTTGACAGCTGATGATGAAGTTAGTAATGTACAACATCCTGGACATATTGACCTGAAATGTCAAGAACGTGTGTCAGACTCAGATACAGATAGCCAATCGGAAGAAGAGGGTTTAATCGAGAACAAAGCGTTTCCGCAGCAACGCTTTTCACCTGTTATGAAGAGACTTTCTTCATCGGATATCACATATCGACCAAAACCTGTCAAACCAGACTCTTCATCACCAATCAGAAGCCAGCTATCAGGAGTGGATCACCAAATCAGAAACCAGCTAACAGGATTGGATCAGCCAATCAGAAGCCAGCTTTCAGGATTGGATCACCCTGATGGATCAATGGGTATGGTTAATGCTGGGGTCGGCCATCTTGCAGAGAATCAACCAAAAAGGCCGACTCAGAGCGGAAGTGGATTTCAACCGAAAGGAGCAGCATTCAAAGCCCACTCACCAAAGGCAAGGGTCTTAGAACAATTTAAATTGTCTACAACAAGCAAGGCTTTTAAAGAATATATACCAAGTAAAAGTCCACATATAAGAAATGAAGATGAAATGGTGACGTCAAAGCCAGGTCAGCACCTTATGTCAACTTTACATTTAGCGAAAAGTGGAGCTATACATAGTGGTAAACCTGTGACAATGCCGGTATTAACATCTATTGCCACGGCTGGAGTCAGTACGGTCTACATGTCTGGGTTGCCGCATATTCCTCTCACTCCAAGTACTGGAATGCAACCAAAGTTAATGACTGAGAAACCACACATCGGCACAATTCTCTCTACAATGAAACCTGGAATGTGGCCAATTGGAATCCAACAAGCACAGATGACACAGCCAACACATGTCCAGACACAGGCACACGTCCAGACCCAGGCACACGTCCAGACACAGTCACACGTCCAGACACAGTCACACGCCCAGACACAGGCACACATCCAGACACAGGCACACATCCAGACACAGGCACACATCCAGACACAGTCACACGCCCAGACACAGGCACACATCCAGACACAGGCACAAGTCCAGACACAGGCACACATCCAGACACAGGCACAAGTCCAGACTCCGATGACTCAAAATGTACCACTTGTAGGGAAAGTTCAGTTGGCCAGCATTGCTCAACCTGTGAATTTCACTGCTGGTAGAAGTACAATGACAACAATGTCTGTAGCATCCAAACCAATCGCTACACCCATACTTATCGCTTCAAAACCAAGTGGTCAGGCTAGACCATTGTGCAGCACCATCAGTGGCATACAACAAGGCAATGTGACAGGAATGATGGGAGGTTTACCTGCCACTCAGACATTTACACAATTAGCAAAAACTGCTGCACTTCCCCATACTTTTGTCAATGTTGCTAATACTCAGAAACCTGGCAATATAGTTATGACTGGACCACAGTTTAAACCTGGTGTATCTGGTGCGCTCATGAATGTGCTGTCCTCATCTGTCACTATGAGTGCTACTAAACTTCTACCAACGCAGCCCACGACAGCTGTGTGTCAGGTTAACACCTCTCAGATTCCACTGACAACAGTCAGGACCATACCACAGCTACAAAAACAATTACCACATGCGCAGCTCACGAGTCCGAATGTTCAGCATCCAGCATTAGTCACCAATTTTGTTCTGAAAGCAAATCCAACAACATCATCAGTACTCACGCCTACCCAGGCTCTTGTATCCAGTCAGCAACTACCAGGTACACCAGGCACACCTGGCACTCCAGGTCATGTAAACATCTCGCAAAGTCAAGTACCACACGGCGGTATCACACAGTTTCAATACATCGTTCCAACACAGATTGCACAAGGAGCTAAACTCCAATCTTCATCACTGCAGCTAGCGAGTTCGCCAAATGCATCAGGAATTCAACTGACCACCGGGAACAATATTGCAATAAAGACTATTCCGGGAAAACCTATTACATTACAGACATCGGGTAACCATGGAAACATGATGAGCACAACAACAGCTGTACCTGGGCACCAGGTCACTGAACCTAGCAACTCTGTATTACCTAGTACAATGCCAAGCAGTTTAATAGCACCACAACTATTTGCAAGCAACAAAATCCAATCTTTTGTTCCTGTGATGTCATCGCAGGTTACTTTACCATCTCAAGTTCTGACTGTTGCTCAGCCTGTCACTATGGCAACTGTAAGCCAGCCTGTCTCAATAGCAACAATGGTAAATCAACCGCTCACGACTTCCGTTGTTAGCCAACCTGTAACCATAGCAACAGGGATTGTCAATCAACACCTTGTTCCAAATACACAGGTTACCATGGCAACACCTATGATTCAAGCAAATCAGTCACATCGTTTATTGCTGCCATCAACACAAAGGTAATAAACAAGTTTGTTTTATTTATTTTAAGTTATATTGGGGGATAGAGTGGTAAGTGAATACAAAAACCACGGTATTCAGAAATATATATGCTGCAACAAATCACCAAAAGTCACTGATATTTAGGGGCCCAAGCCCGAAGGGCGAGGCCCCTATTCTTATTGTCCGGTTTTTCTTCTTTCTTTCTTTCTTTCTTTCTCCGTAACTTTTTCGTCAAGTCGTTTGGGAAACTGCTGAACAGATGGTCTGATAATGCTCTATACTGATAGTCCATAATGTGAACTGGTGCAACATGCTTTCAGTATTTCGATTGGTCAATTAGTTTGGCAGCCATATTGGATTGAAATAAAACAGGAAGTGGCTATTTGACCACTTTCTGAGGGTCTAGGCGTCTAGATTTTTTTATGGTATATAGTACAACTCATATGTAATAGATATCAGCAATAAAAACTTTAGCGGTCACGTGACTTTTCCCGCCATTTTGTTTTTCCTAAAAACGGCAAAAAACACTTGAAAATCTTCTTTTTCAGAACCACCTAGCAGAATGCTCTCATATGTTGTATTTAGCTTCTATATATGAATCCCATTTACGTTTGAAAAAATGTTTACGATTGGTCACGTGGTTTGGCCACCATTTTGGATTTCTTCTAAATAGGAAGTAGTTTTTTACTCTGGCAACACTTGAGGGAATATTTTCATTTTGCTTCATGGCATCTGTGTATCAAGCTCTTTCAGAAACCTAAAAAAA